CCCACCCTCCCCGCGTCTCCTTTCTCTGCCCACCGCTCTGCCCTGCGTCCCTACCCCCCAGCTCCCCCCAGCGGCCTGGTGGCACCTGGGAGGTGTCCGGAGCGGCATGGATTCCGCAGACGCCGAGTACCCCCTGAGTGCCCAGCTCTTCGGAGTCCGGGCGGAAGACAGCTGCCCCCGTTCGTAGAAGCAGGCAGGGCCCCGGCCCCGTTAGGCATCATTTTGTCCTCACAGCAAACCTAGAGGGTAGGTACTCATTCTCTCTGTCATGCAAGAGAAAATCCTGAGGCCTAAAGAAGTTAACTGGCCCAGGATCGCTCCGCTACGAAGTGTGTGAAAAGACAGTCTGTGTTCAGGGGCAGCAGACAGGTCCCCTGGCAAGAATAGTGCAAAACAGAGGTGAGTGCTTTCTGCGTCGAGGTAGGAACGTGCTTGCGAGGCAGGGGCAGGAGAGGGCAGGGGCCCGGCCTCTGCTCTCCGCTCCCTTCCCGGCCTGTGCCTCTGATTTGAGCTGGGCTCCGAGGGAAGGCTAGGATTTCAGGTCTGGAGGACGGCAGGGGGGCACAGAGGGGCGCCCCGCGTGCTCAAGGAACGAAAAGGTGGCCTGGCACCTGGAAAAGACGGCTTTAGTCGTCAGGCAGTGGGAGAGGAGGCTGCAGGGAATTGAAAGGGCTTTGAATACCTGGACTTCCCCGCCATGGGCGAGGAGCTGTTGAAGGATCTGGAATTCTCTCACCATCAGCCCCTCTCAAGCAGAGTTTTCTGCTTCCCTGGCGGAAGTCCGGGGCAGCACCATATTGTCCAGCCGCACTTTAGTAAGGAGCTGGGCCTGAGCAGAAACAGTCGCCCCTCCCACCAAAGAGTGCGAAGGCCTTACATGCGGCACCCTGGCTCGTTCAAGTGGTAAGAAAACCGTATAGATGCCTTAGCGTTTCTACAGCAGGAGTTTGTGCAGATGCCCTTTCCTGCAGTGCAAAGGTGGCCGCGACGGCAGTCAAGTGCACTTGGAGGCCGAGCGACTGGGACTTCAGTGGATGGGGAGCTGGGTGATGAAGCGAGAGGACACTTCTGGAGGATACTCTTGGAGGCCGAGACCAAAGGGCTGGGACTGATCAGAGAGGGCGAGCAGGGGCAGGGGTAGAGGTGCCAGCCCAGTGCAGTCCCGGCCACCTCAGGGCAGAACACCTGCCTCTGGAGAGCAGGGGTTGCACCCACATCCAGTTGTCATCCTCCACAGCTCTCTGTCTATCCAGCTCCTCCCCATCCTTTGAGACGGCAGCTAAAACCCTTCTTCAGGTCAGAGGTCATCTGGTCCAGCCTCCCCACAACCAACCAGATTCTCCCATGCTCCATCCTTGACAGTTTTTTTTTTTTTCCGGTTTCCCTTCAGACTCTCCTGTCACTGTTTTCTGAGGTGTCCACCTGTGTTCTACTTCTCAGTGACTTTCTCTAAATGAATCCACAGTGTTTGCTAGTAGTCACTTTATTTTGCAAACAGTCACCAACCATTTGTTCAGGACCCATTTCCAGAATGTTGTAAGGAACTGTCGATCCGCAGGCGCTGCCGGGAAAAGGCCCGGTAGTGGGGTCCCCTGTCGGACCCCCAGGTGCGACCCTGCAGTGCGGGTGGGTAGGTGGGCCGGCCCTTTCACTTTCCTCAACTGCCGGTCCTTCGAGCCACCGTGCGAACTTCCCAGCACCAGGGAAGTCGCTGGCTGAGGAAGCACCACGACTTCACGACGGGTGCCGTGTGTATAAGAGTCAAACCTAATGGCATGTGTCACCTCCCCCACAGTCTGTAAGGTGTGTCGCTGAGCCTGGGACAGCTACAAGAATGTCTGAGACCATAATTCTTCCCTTGGGAGGCGGGGCAGGGGAGAAAAAGTCAATCTCGGGGGCCCAGGGGACTCATGCTGTAGCAAAGTCTAACTTTGGTGGAGATTTGCAGTAATGGTGCTTTTTGTTTGGGGAGGGGGTGGGTGGCTGGGGAGGGGACAAAATCGGGTTGTCTTGTGGGGAGAGGAATTAGCCGTTAGATTTTGATGTTTATTAAAAAGAGACACGAGATGCTTTTTTAAAAAAGCAGTTGAGCAATGCCCTTGTTTGTGCCGTTTCAGTGAACCAGCTGTTTTTTTGCTAGGTCATCGTCGGTAGACAGTTCCTGTGCGATTATGATGGGAGGTACTGGCTGGGCTCTAGTAAATCTGCAGTTTGCTGTTTCTCCACTAAAACACCCCAGCAGTGCTCAGTCACCGTTTATTTAGCAGAATTGCACTGGGCGCCTGCCTCGGGCCATGCGCTGTGCCATGAAAGGGGGCGGTGAGGTGGACACGGGAGCTGACCGTAGGGTGGTGAGCATCACCAAGGGGTCTGCACGGCGTGCTGCGAAAGCCTGGAGGAAGGCAGGAGCCCAGACATGGGTGACGTCTGAGACACCCAGGGGAGCTAACCAGTAGGCTGAGCTCTGGCAAGCGGCAGAGGGATTCCCACTTTTCACATGCTAACCCCTGCCCCCAGCCCGGCTCCCCCTCGCCTACGGGAGCTGGGCCCATGGAACGTGGCCGGTGGACTAATTGATGGTGATCTTCTGTCTTTATTTCTGAAAGATTTCTCCGTGGACAATGGCAGCTACGATTCAGGCCATGGAGAGGAAGATCGAATCGCAGGCTGCCCGCTTGCTTTCCCTAGAAGGTCGAACTGGCATGGCCGAGAAGAAGCTGGCCGACTGCGAGAAGACGACCCTGGAGTTCGGGAACCAGCTGGAGGGCAAGTGGGCCGTGCTGGGGACGCTGCTGCAGGAGTACGGGCTGCTGCAGAGGCGGCTGGAGAACATGGAGAACCTGCTGAGGAACAGGAACTTCTGGGTCCTGCGGCTGCCCCCGGGCAGCAAGGCGGAGGCCCCCAAGGTAACCCTGGGCCCCTGGGGTGGGACAGCCTAAGGGACCGTGCCTATAAGTGTGGGTGAGCGTGCATGAGGCTTGTGGTTCCAGGCGCCCGTGACCTTTGATGACACGTCTCTGTTTCTCTGAGCAGGAGTGGGGCAAGCTGGACGAGTGGCAGAAGGAGCTCTACAAGCACGTGATGAGGGGCAACTACGAGACGCTGGTCTCCCTGGGTGAGGCTCGATACTCGTTTCTCTGTTCAGTGTGATCTGGGGAGCCTCGGACCTCTCTTCATGCTGGTGGGCTTTATCACAAGGATACATAAATCTCTAGAAACCTTGATCATGCAGAGTCACCTCCTCTCCCTAACAATGAGCGCTAGTGATTCAGTTGACAGGTCCCCTCTCCGTGGTGTGAAGTTCACGGGATGCCAGACCGCGGGGCCGGGGGCCTGGCCCCTCTCCTAGCCAGGCGTGGGGCATGGCTGTTTTTGTCCTGCTGAGAACTTGAAGCGGAGAAGGCTCCCACCACTCTCAGATCTGGGATAGTATCAACCCGCATTTGAGAAAGACTTCCTTTTAGCCTTCTCTTATTGAGCTGTGTGGTCTTGACCGACACGCCTCTGGGTCGGTGGAGAACGTGGGCAGACGGCGCTGCTTGCAGCCAGCACCGTCTTCATGCTCGAGACTTTGCTCTGCGAGACCCAGAAGCTGCTTCTGTTCTTCTCCTGTGACGCCCCGCGGAGAGAAGGCCCGGGCTTGTTTCTTCTGGGCATGTGACCCCAGATCTGGAGGCAGGAAGGCATCCTCAGTGTGATGTTGTATTTCGGTTTGCAGAAATGTCCCACTTCTTAACGTGGAGACTGTCCCCGAGTTTCTTCACCTCGGCACTGTGACATTTTGAGCCAGGTGATTCTGTGGGGGGCTGTTGCGTGTGGCAGGATATTCAGCAGCACCCCGGCCTTCCCCCACCAGCTACCAGTAGTACCTCTCCCCCAGACCCCAGTCGTGACGACCAAAAATGTCTCTAGGGGGGACAAAATTGCCCTTATGAATAAATTTCATTTCTTGGCTGTTCTTGGGAACCACGTGGCAGAGCTGACCTTGTATCTCTCCGCAGACTACGCCATCTCCAAGCCCGAGGTCCTCTCCCAGACCGAGCAAGCAAAGGAGCCGTGCAGCTGGCGCCGCGCCGGCCCGAAGGTTCCAGACGTTCCCGTGGACCCGAGTCCAGGTGCGGGGCTGGGAGGGGACCGGGGAGCCACCAGGCGATCGGCTGAAAACAGACGTAAAAGGCCGGGGAGGGTGTGGCGTCTCCGTTTTGTTTGACGGTTAGGACCCGTGGCCTGCTCAGCCGGCCCTTCGGGAACACTTTCCAGGGTGGGAACATGCCGCAAACCTAGTCTTTCAGGCCAAGAGACAGCTGGTGCCACCAGATTAGGGGAAGTGAAGGAAGGACACTGATATGGGAAGGTAGGAGTCTATTAAAGACAAAATTTAATTCGCTCATAGCTTTACGAGGAGTCAGCCTTGCCTTTAGTCAACAGCCAAATCCGATTTACATTCATTAGTAGTCACAGGACAGTGATCTGTGAGGCGCACGCTCACCACGTCTCGGTGTGGGTTAGAACCGCAGGCTTATTTAAGGTGAACTTGGACACCCGCTGTCACGCGCAGATTTTCCTGGAGCCAGTCAGCACCTTTGAAGGTTAAGGGTAGGACAGGTCGATACAGGAGACGAGCCGCGTGACTGAACTGAAGCCTGTGGCGGGTTGCGGGGTAAACGACAGTCTGTCCCTTGACCAGCGAGACCTGCCTCCTCCACAAGACCCCTTGTCTGTCCCCCACCTCGGTTTCCATTTATCCGAACACCTGTGTGACTGAAAAGTTACCGTGTTTAATTGGTGACGAACGTGTCGCGTCTCCCGCGTTTGCTGTTCCATCACAGGCAGACCCTTGCTTTTCCGAGGGCAGACAGTGCAGAGCCAGCCGTGTCGTCAGCACCGGGAGAGCGTTCGCCGGTTTAGGTGCCAAGGACAGTCTGGGAGCTGGAGGACAGAATGGCAGAGCGGGTTCTGGCACAGGGGGCCTGCCGCTTCTCAGCCCGGGTGGGAGGTTCGAGGTGGGCTTGTTCTGTCATGTTGATGACATACGTGGACGCCTCTCTGCTTTCCACACGGTCATAATGAGAGCGAATGGGGCCTGGAAATACGGCGGCTGCTGGCCAGAGCCCCACGGGCCCTGTCCTCCGACACGCGTGAACGCCACGCTGCCTGAGCCCATCGTCTGGAACCCTGTGTGGCCTTATACCCCACCGCCTCAGCGCAGGAAGCCCAGACCCCTGCTCGCCTGTCCGGGCTCGGTGCGGCCCATCAGACCCCCTCCCCACTTATCTCCAGCTCCTGACCCCCCACTGAGCTTTGTGGCACTCAGTGCTGAGCAAGACCCCCGACCCTCAGGCTCTTTTCTGAGCGTCCGGCCCATTCTTGCTCACAGGAGACCCGGCTCCCACAGGGGCACCGAGTCCCTCGCAGCCCTGCCCTTGCCCAGGAGCCTCTGCCCCTGGCCTGGCAAAGCCCGTGTCCTTGTTCCTCTTGCCCTCTGGGCCAGTGTCCCCCCTCCTCCCTGGAAACCCACACCTTTGGATCAAATGCCTGCTGTCCGTTTCCCGCCTGCTGCACACCGCTGGGCCTCCCTCCCTCCCGTCTCTTCCCGCTGTCACCCTTGGCGACGGCGGCCTCCACGAGGATGGTCTTTCAAACACCTGGCCTCTCCGTTCTTTTGCCTCCCACCTTCCACTCCCTCTCTGCCACCCGCCGTGGTCGTTCCCCTGACTGCTGGGACAGTAATGCACCCCTTCCTTCGTCTCTAAGCACACCCTCCCTGTCCTCCTGTGCTCGCAAATCACACGTCCTGGGGCCCTGACTCCAGCTCTTGCCCTCGGCTCCCGTGAGCCCCCGTCCTGCTGCCTTTGCTCTGCCCATCTCGGCTGCGTTCCCTCTTGGCCCAGCCCGGGTTCCGGGCCCATCATCACTCCCCAGCAGCCGCACGTGGCTGGAAGGACCCCTCGTCCCCAGCGGTTTCTCACCAGGGAGTTGGGGTGTTCGGCGCTGCCCTGCGGTCACTCAGTGTCTCCTCGGTCCACTCAGGAGCCCAGAGGTTGGCCAGCTACGGCCCACAGGCCAAATCACCCATCTGTTTCTGTAGTGTGTGAGCTTAGAATAGTTTTTATATTGAAGAAATATTTAATTGGAAAAAAAAAAAAAAAACAGAACAAAATACTGTCACAGCCCTCACCACCCCACCTGCTCATCCGCCTCCATCTGTGCCCAGTTCTCTGTTTGCTCCTGTGACTGTGACAAACCGTTGACCTCCAGTTAAATATCCTCCACTCGGCACTAGATCCCATCCCAGGCCACCTTCTCAAGGCCTCGGGCCCAGCATCCTCACCTGCCTCCCTCGTCCCCACCCGCACCTCCCGCCTCACTCCTGATCTGGATACAGACATCCCCCCCCAGCAGGTATCGTCTGTTAGGTATTTCCTATTTATAGACTTACGTATGTCTGTCTGCCCCTCCATTAGACCGTAGATTTCAAGAAGACAAGAACTTTTATCTGTTCTTGTCCTGTGATCGTTCTGGGCACCTAGAATACTGCCTAGCACAGAGCAGGAATTCAATAAGTATTTGCTGACTTATGCTGTGTTTTGTAACTTAAAATATGTGTGTACAAAAAAACATATTTCTGACACAGTTTAAATCCCTTTGTAGATCTCGGTCTCCGGCCCGCCCTGGGTCACCGCTGTCCTCAAGTCGGCGTTTACCTTTCCATCCACATTTTAAAACTTCCATAATGTACATGTGTGGCCACAAATAATACACAGTGTGGTTTTCTGTGATTTGAAAAATTACATAAATGTCCTTATATTTATCACTCGCTATTCCGTATTTTAGACTTCTCTCTGTGGATGCGTATAGATCAAGTTGATTCATTTTAACAGATGCCTAATATTCCAAAAGCAACCAAATTACAATTTATTATCCCTTCCTCCACCCAGTGGCACTTAAGCCATCCCTGATTTTTCCCTCGCACAAGTGGTGCTGCGGTGAACACTCTCGGACGTGCCTCTTTGTGTCCACGTGCTGACGTCTCCCTGGGGACTAGCCCCGGGGAGGCCTGTGTCACTGAGCATGCTGGTCTGCAGCTCTGCCGTGGCCACAGTGGTCTCCCTATGGGTGACGAGCTGGTACCACTGCCCAGCGGTTGGGAAGTACCTGTTTTCTTACATCTTTGCCCACTTTTCAGAATTAGATTTTTGCCAGTCTGCTGGAGGTGAAATATCTCGTTTTAATTTGCCTTTTCTCGGCTGTTAGAGATGTCGAGCATCCTTATCAGAGGTTTATTTGGCTTCTCCAGTGGAATGTCATCTTCTGTTTTTCTACTGTAGTTTTCATTTTCTTATTGGCCCAGGACTTCTTTACATAGGTTCTAGACCCTTGTCTGTTCTTTGCATTATAAATGTCTTCTCCCAGCCCACAACGGGTCTTATCATTTTACAGTTCTTGTACAGAAGTTTAAATTTGGGTAGAGGCAACTCACCAGTCTTTTTCTTTATGATCTGTGCTTTTTCTGTCTTAAGATACCCTTCCCTGCCTCACTCTAGGTCGGAAATACATCCTCCAGTCTTTCCTTATAAAACTCTGAAAGTTTCGCTTTTCACATTTAAGTCTTTAATCCATCTAGATTTAATATTTGTGTAGGAGAATTGCATGGGAGAATTAAATTTTTTTTTCCCCACGACATCCGACTTCTGACAAAGTTCACTGAATATGCTGCCTTTTCTGTGATGATTTGCGATGCCATTTGGTCATAAACCAGGTTTCCGCACGTGCACACACAGTTTTGAGCCCCTTTCTTCTGTTTCTCGGGCTCTTTGCTCATCCCTGCACCAACACTGACCACGCTTCAGAGGAGGCCCGGATGTGTGGCAGACCCAGGCTTCTCTGCTGGCTCTCCAGAACTTTTCACGGCTGCTCTTGGACCTTTATTCTATATGAGTTTCAGAATCTTTATGTCAAGTTCTCAGAAAATCCTGTTGGAATTTGGATGAGGATTACATTTACTTTATAACCTCGTTTCTGGAGACTTCTCATTACAACCCTGAGCCCCTCCATCCATGGGAAGACTTATCTGTTGGAGGCTTCTGTGTGGCTTCAAGAAAGTTTGACAGTTTTCTCTTGAGAGTTGTTATTTCTGTTGTGAGTGGGACTTTTAAATCAATTACATGTTTTAAGCACTCATTAGGAGTATACGGCTATGCCCTTGACTTTGATTAGTAAAGAGACATTCTGCTCAACTCTCTTATTAAAATGTCTTGTTATTTTAGATTCTCCCGGGGTATTTCATGGGGACAGTGGTTCTCTTCACAGATGACACGAAAGTTATCTCTTCTTTTTAAATGTTTATAACTTTATCTTTCTTGTTTAGCAGTGTGGCTAGGACCTTGACGAGTAGTAGCGGTGATAGCTGGCATCCTTGTCTATGGATGCTTGGATGCTTCTAGAGTGTCAGCAATAAGGATGGTTTTTGCCAAAGACTTTTGAAGATACTCTAAGCTTCAAGAAGTTTCCTTCCACTGCAGGTTAAAGTTTTTACTGTGAACAAGTGTTGTATTGTACCAAATGTTATTTTTTAAATACTTTCATTTCTTTAAAATATTGTTCTCTGTATTATATGTATAACATAATGCAGAACAAAATTCTGAATAAACAAAATACAGAACAAAATTAAGGCAAAATTTAGAGACTGACGGTGAACACCCATATTCCACAAACCCCAGCATAAGAAGTAGCTCACGGCCAGACCCTTCTGAGACCCCACTGTCTCTCCCTGGTCCCAGGCCCCTCCCTCCCTCTCACAGATAAATAGAAAGTTCACAAACAGACATAGCCCCTTGCTTTTCTTTACGTTTTTATTCCCTGTGTTTGTGTTCCTGAATAACATTATTTCGTTTTGCCTGTTTTTGAACTATTTATGAGTCATCCGTGTTGATGCAATATAGCTGTAGTTCGTGTTCACGACGTTCGACTCGTCAGTTTTCTGTTTTGTGGATGTAACGTGATGCGTTTATCTTTTTTACTGTTGGTGGGTGTTTGCGTTGTTTCTAACTCCTTCGCTTTTAGGAAAATTCTTATGCATGTATAAAAGTTTCTCTAGGTGTAGAACCAGGAGCGG